TGGAAGGGAGAGGGAGAAAGAGAGAAGAATCGATGTGTGAGAGACACATCAATTGGTTGTCTCCCTCATGCACCCCGACCAGGGCCAGGGATTGAGCCTGCAACCGAGGGGACCAATCAGAGGGAGACACATTGCTACAGGCGACCAATGGCTGAAAGGCTGGGGTACTGTGCACGTGGCTCTAGGAGTTCGTTCAGGCTGGCGTTGCTACTTCCTGGTGTGCCGAGGAAGCATGTCATGGTGGAGTGTGCTCACACCATTGCATCAGCCGCAGCGCTGAGACATACTTCCCGAGCTCTACGTACAATTTGTGGTAGTTTCAGGTGGCTAACATTTTATTTTATCTCACAAGGATATAAAAAACATTCCTCCTGTCATCTACAAGGCTATAGGGGTCTCTTGGGGACCCTCCCAGGAAAGAGTCTCTCCAGGCAACACCCCCATTTCAGCGTCATCCCAAGCTAGCTCCGTGGGACAGCTGAATACACTTGAAGTTCTCCCTTTAGTTTACCCTGTTACCTTCTGAATAGCTCCAGACTGCTTGCTTTTCCACCTGCAAAATTACCTGCAGGGCTTCCCTGCGTCTGATTCCTGTCTGAGCCCTCACTTCCTTTCCTGATCTGAGTCCCTGATCTCCATTGAGGAAACTGCCCTGGCCCAGGGCGCTTTTGCAATGTGGTCTCATGGATCCTGCCAGCAGCCTTCCCAGGTAAACAGGAAACTGCGAGACTGAAGTGAAAGAATTGACCTGAGAGGCTCACGCTCAGGGCTCCTGATGCCCCATTAGGGCTCTCTGGTTGTCATGTCTGTGCTGCGCGCTTCTTGTCAACAGCGAGCTGTCCGCAGTCAGGAGACTTGGACTTGACATCAGGCTTGCAGTTCACTAGCTCTGGGACCCCAACTTCTCCAAGACCATTCTCATGTCCAGTGCAAATGGTCCTGCCGACCCCATGGGGGCATGCGTGGTGTTTCATGAAAATGTATGTACGATCATCTTTTACCCTCGTACATTTAGAAAGTGTTTTACCATTAGGAGGGATGCTCACGCACTATTTCATAGGATCTTCACCCCACGGCGTGACTTTGTGAAACAGATCCTCCCCATTGACAGCTGCATGAACCTGAGTCAGGGAAAGTTGTTTGCAGGGTCTCCCAGCTGGTTACAAGCAGAGCTAGGCTGGAATTCGGTCTCTGGACTTCCGGTCCTGTGTGTGTGCCTTCCAGAGTCCCACGGCAGTGAATTTGGGATTTTCAAAGATGATCAAAACAATCATTAAAATCTCTTTTGGCTACAACTCTCTCTTAGCAGGTGGGGTGAGTGTGGGAGGCTCTTCGATTTACGCCCATCTGCCCAGCTTTCTCCCCAACCATCCAGGGAATCCAAACAGCACATTGTCCCTGAGTGCTGACTTCTGGTTGTCAGACTGTTGGGTTCTGAAAATTTGTGATTCTTTGGGGGGGGGGGCGGGGGAGGGCATTACTTACCGGGAGCAGTTTTTAAAATGCTTTCCCTGCCTCGTCAAACTAAAAATGTGCTGCCCACTTCCCTAGACATTGAGCCAGGTGTTTGGCCAAATAAATGGGCAAGAAAGATCATTGTTACAGCAAAAGACACCAATGGCTTCCTGGCCAGAGACTCCTACCTCTGATCTTAGTCTTCCTGTTCAGGCATTGACTGTTCTTGTAAAGGGCTCAGGTTTCCATCCTGGCCCATTGAGAGGAGGCTGCTAAGAGCTAATCTAATATTCAGGTTTGGAATTGCATTTTGTAAGGAGGTGGAAGTGGTTTTTTGTTTCACCTTGCAGTAATTTACTTCAGATCTTAGAGGAGAAGGCGGGCATTGTCCTGCAAAACTGCCTGTAGCTATCACCGGTCCTCCCTTGTTTTTCAAAAGGGTCCTTGTTTTGGCCTGAGTTTCTTTCCTGTGTCGTGGAAAATGTAATCCCAGAGTGCAGTGTTTTGTGTGCCCTGCAGCAAACCCACTCACTCACTACCCCCAAATGCCGTGCATGATGTGCGGAATCAGGGTTTGCAGACAACAGTCAGATGAAAAGATTGGGGGTGGGGGGACATGTAAGTCCATGTGGATGCCAGGAATGATGCGTGGGATTGGCATGAGTAATGGAACAGAGAGGAACGAACGTGATGACGGAGGCTAATGTCATGGAGAAAGTTTGACAAGGTTCACCTGGGAGCGGATGGCCTGTTTCTGCCCTGAGTGGCAGGCTACCCCTGACTACTTTGTAAAAAATGCGGAGAGCTCTGGGGACCTTCTCATGTGCTCCGCTGTGGGAGTTGCTGGCAGGGTATGAGCTGGGTGGGAAACTGCCGACGGGCAGGACTCAGGGTGGCAGACTTTGTTATACTCCTGTTCCTCTCTCCTGATTCCCCAACATCAGGAAGGTGATGGGTTGAGCAGAGCACCCAGAGGCCAGAATGGAGTTGGGTGCTCTTATTCGCTGTACTAGTATAACCTGGTACAAACCACTTAATTTCTCCATGCCTCGATTTTCTCATCTGTAAAATGGGAATAATATTCTCATTGGCTGACTGCGCGGATTAGGGGAGAGAAGACACAAACCTGTGGAGCCCAGCAGAAGGCACACAGTAAATACCCACTTGACGGTAGTAGCTGTGCAATTTCACTGTGGAATTCATTCTTTTAGAAAGGTGTTTAGCCCTAGCCGGTTTGGCTCAGTGGATATATATTTAAATATATTTTATTGATTTCAGAGAGGAAAGGAGAGGGAGAGAGAAATAGAAACATTGACGATGAGAGAGAATCACTGATCGGCTGCCTCCTGCACGCCCCCTACTGGGGATCAAGCCTGCAACCGGGCATGAGGCCCTAATCAGAATTGAACCTGGGACCCACTGAGCCAAACCAGGTAGGGGTGTGTGTGAGTGTGTGTGTGTGTGTGTGTGTGTGTGTGTGTGTGTAGTGTGTTTAGATACAGAGTTGTATTTAGAATATCAAATTCGTATTTTAAGAAAGTTTTGATATGTGAGGAAGGGAGAAAAAGCTGAGTGTTTGAAATGATTGGTTGGGAACAGTGAGCACTGCTTCAGCAGGTTTGGAATAGCATCCGTTTCGTTCATCTTGGTACAAAAAAGAATGCAGTGAGCACAAAGATTGATCTGGAAGCATCCCATCTGTGGTGGGCAGTGGCCATTGTGGTGCTCAGCTTACCCGGCAGGCACCTGTCTCATGCAGCGTGGGCTGGGTCACAGTAGGGGTTGTGTTGGGGGACAGAGAAGGGAGGTACGGCTGCGGCCCCAGAGCCAGACCATCCCATCCACACACTTACGGGAAAGCATTGGCCTCTGGCATCGATTTGCAGATTGCCAACATACAAGTTGTTTTCGTGAGCGGAAACTTGGAAACAATCACCTGGGCAAGCAAGGGCGCATGATAGAGCGAGATGACATCGCTTGGGTCTGTTTCATGGTAGAGGGCGTGCTTACTGTGTGGCAGGAACCTTCCAGACTTTCTTCCACTTGTCCTCAGGGCGGCCTGAGGAGGCAGCTAGAATCCTGGTTTTATAAAATATTAACAGGCCTGAGCCTCAGAGTCCTGCGCGTGCACAAGGTCAGAAGCTGTGACCCCAGAAAGCCAGCCTGAACTTAAGGAGCCGGTAGCATTTGGAAGCCCTTCACCTTGGCCCTGCACTGCCCCTTGTCGGCAGGCCGGGCCCTAACCTGGCCTCCAGGTGGCAGGTGGGGACTTGTCCTGCGTCTGTGTGGAGTGAGAGGAAAGAAAATGTGTCCTTGGGGGAAAGGGAGTGCCTTGCTGGCATGCACCGGGCCGGAGCCAGCAGGAAGCGTGTGGGCCCTCAGCCGCCCAGATCCGCTCCGGCCACCGTCCTCCCTGGATGGTGTCTGGGAGCTCCTGGCTCCCCCACTCTCACAATTCTGAATCTCCTCTTTTCACCTAGATTAGGCGAGGAGGAGCCTCCGGTGACGATCAGGCCGGTTGGGATAGTTGATCTTGTTTTTTTCAGAAATGTTTTGAAATTCAGTAAGCTGAATATACAGTTGAGTAGGGTCTGACCATCATAGGTTCAGGATGGAGGGGAGATCAAAAGGGGTTTAAAAAATATATGTTTTTGCCCTGGCTGGTTTGGCTCAGTGGATAGGGCATCGGCCTGTGGATGGAAGGATCCCCAGGTCTAATTCCATTCAAGGGCACATGCCTGGGTTTTGGGCTCGATCCCCAGTAGGGGGCATGCAGGAGGCAGCAGATCAATGATTCTCTCTTATGATGTTTATCTCTCTGTCCCTCTTCCTTCCTCTTCGAAGTCAATAAAAAAAAAGAAGAAAAAAGTGCATCCCAGGTGCGCGATTCCTTATGGAATCAAAGTTACAGTCAGTTTCTTTTTTTTCTTTTTTTTTAATATTTTATTGATTTTTTACAGAGAGGAAGGGAGAGAGATAGAGAGTTAGAAACATCGATGAGAGAGAAACATCGATCAGCTGCCTCCTGCACGCCCCCCACTGGGGATGTGCCCGCAACCCAGGTACATGCCCTTGACCGGAATCGAACCTGGGACCTTTCAGTCCGCAGGCTGACGCTCTATCCACTGAGCCAAACCGGTTTCGGCTACAGTCAGTTTCTTATTGAAAGCTCTCACTTTTCACGATAGTGCTTCCCTCAAAAATCGATAAATAATCAAGCTCCATGGAACTGAAGTTCACCCATCCTGTAAGCATTATCAGGCAGTAACAAAACTTTAAAAATGTGTTTCTCCCTCAGCCGCATTGCTGTTTATAAATGACACAGACAGGGCAGGCTTGTTCAGATCTTCATCCGGGACCCCGTCTCTTTATTCTAGAAATAGGGCTTGCTCATTGCCCAAGTCCGCGAACGAACTGGGGGGTTTCCAGGGTGGGTGTGTTGGGAACAGGTTAACTCTGTCCTTTAAAATCAGAGTCATTGAAGTAAAGTGTCCCACGGCTTTTGGGAACTGGGTCTCCTCCAGGTTGCTGTCGTTACTATGTGAGGGGCCTCTAGGGTCATTCTGGTGCCCTGGGGGAGGCCGGCACTTGTCATCTTGTTTGGTGTGTGACTGGGGAGCTCACAGAGATCATGGCTGTTGCTTTTGTTCTCGCCCTGGCCCTGTAGTTGTATCAACATGCCCTCCGTCCTGCTGCTGGAAGCCATCTGCATTTGCCTGTTGGCGGGAGGTAAGTTTTTGTTGGGGAAGAAGGTTGAGGGCTTTGGTTTGTCTCACATCCTGTCGATGTTAACGTCACAAGCTCTGTTGAATGCCTCTGTGTGCCTCCACTTCATGGCACCTGCCCGGCCTAAGCCCCATCCCCTCAGGTTTGGACCACTGCAGCGGCCTCCTGACGGGCCTCCCCGGTCTCCTCCAGCCCATTCTCCGCACAGCGACCATTTCAAAATGCGAATCTTGGCACATCTGGATCCCTCTCCACTTCTACCCCTTGCCTGAAACTTTTCAGTGATGGCCCATTGCTCTTAGAGGCCGGCCTGATCAGACCCCATAGCCACCTTTTGTCCTCTCTGGTGCCTCCTCCCCACCCTTTGTGCTGCAGGCCATACCTCTTCCTGCCCAGCATCCTTGCTCCCTCCTGCTGTAGGCCTTACCCCCACACTGCTACCTGGAAAACTCCTACTCATCCTTCAGCACCCAGCACAGTTCCTCCTGGGCCCTAGATCAGGTCAGATCCTCTGTTAAAACCCCGGTAGCCTTGGTTCCTCTGGGATGTAGCACTTAACACAGATGAGTTTGTTTCTGTGTGAATTCTTTGAAGTCAGTGTCCATTTTCTCCAGCAGATACAAATTCCATGAGAAAGAGACCCTGCATAGTCCTCAATCACTGCTATGGAGTGTTTCTGCCTGGAATGACTGCTTCTGGTGTCTTCTCTCCTAGCGCCCCCTTCCCTCCCTCTTCAGGAAGTCCACGTGAGCAGGGAGACCCTGGGGAAGATTTCAGCCGCTAGCAAAAGTAAGCCCATGTCTTACTCAGCCCTCTAAGCACCCACTGCAGCCTCTGTGGCAGACCCAGGGGACGCCACGTCACTGCAGACAGTGTCCACCCTGCTCCCGTCTTCCTTTCATGCTGTGGCCAATCATTTCCCCAAAACAGGGGCCCGACCAAGTCCATCTCCTGGGTAAAAACCTTCGGTAAATTCCTGTTGCCAAATTTCTTTTCTAAATTTATTTTTCAATTACAGTTTACTTTCAATGCTAGTTTGTATTGGTTTCAGGTGCACAGCATAATAGTTAGACAGTCATATACTTTACAAAGTGTTCCCCCTGATATTTCCAGTACCCACCTGGCCCCATATATAATTACTGCAATATTGTTCACTATACACCTGTATTCCCTATGCTGTACTTTACGTCCCCTTGACTATTTTGTAACTACCAATCTGGACTTTCTTTTTTAAAAATACATTTTTATTTATTTCAGAGAGGAAGGGAGAGGGAGAGAGAGAAACATCAATGATGAGAGAAAATCATTGATCAGTTGCCTCCTGCACAACCCCTACTGGGGATCAAGCCCGCAACCTGGGCTTGTGCCCTTGGCCAGAATCGAACCTGGGACCCTTCCATCCACAGGCTGATGCTCTATCCACTGAGCCAAACTGGCTAGGGCCAATCTGGACTTCTTAGTCCCTTCACCTTTTCACCTAGTCCCCCACCTCCCCTCCCCTCTGGATCAGTCTGTTCTCTGTGTCTATGAGTCTGTTTCTGGTCTGTTTGTCATTTGTTCTGTTCTCTAGATTTCACATATAAGTGAAATCATACAGCATTTGTCTTTCCCTGACTGACTTCACCTGTTGCCAAATTTCTTGGCCTACTCTTCGAGGTCTTCTGTTGGTGACCACTGTCTACCCAACCAGCCTCACCCACCACCATATTCCTTCTTCTTCTGCCATCCCCTCCATGTGCTCAATCCACAGCAGCCCACGCCCAGGGCCCTGCACATCCCTCCTACCTGTCTGGTGAAATCCCTGCATTTGCTGCCTTCCGGTGGCGCCCTATCACGGTGCCTCCCTGACTACCGCGGTCTTGCATCTTCACGGTGAGGTAGGGCTTGAACTCTGGAGCCACACAGCCTGGACGTGATTCCTGGCTCCACCGCTTCCCCGGGCTTTGTCCTTGGGGATGTTACTGTGCCCTGCTTTCCTCGTCTCTCCCGTGGGAATAAGCATCGTAAGAACAGGGGTGGGGGCGAGGGGTTAGGGAGCGGATAGCTAAAGGGTATTGGGTTTCTTTATGAGGGGACAGAAAATGTTCCAGAATTGACTGAGGTGACAATGGAATGTATCTGTGAACATACTGAAAACGTTGAATTATACACTTTAAGTAGGTGAATTATATGATGTGTGAATGATACCTCAATAAAACTGTTTAAAAATTTAAGAAATAGTCGCCCAGCCGGCATGGCTCAGTGGTTGAACATCAACTTATGAACCAGAAGTCACAGTTCAATTCCTGATGAGGGCACATGCCCGGGTTGCAGGCTCTATCCCCGGTAGGAGGTGGCCAATCAATGATTCTCTCTGATCATTGATGTTTCTGTCTCTCCCTCTCCCATCCTCTCTGAAATCAATAACAATATATTTTAAAAGGTAGTCATCTAGGAGTGGATGTAAGGATGAAGTGAAGAGTCCATATGAAGTGTTTAAAGCAGCCCCCGGCACTTGGGAAAGGTGCGGTCAGTGCTGCTGTTACTGAACTCCTGGGTAACGTGACCTCATATACCAGGGTGCCTGGCTGTGTCCCAGACCAGACTGTGGTCCCCGAGGGCTGGGACCAGGGCTCCTCAGGATCCCGCACTGGCCCAGCAGCCCCCGCGGCCATATGACTCAGTCAGTGCTGTTGGATTAGACTCTCCTGTTACCCCAGACCTTCAGGGTCTTGTTCTGAGCATCATGCCCGTGTGGGCATGTACTTCCTGCTGCAGAGTGGGCTGCCGCTGGCTGGACCTTTTCCAGCATTCCTTCCTTCACTGACCTACCACGGGTCCTTTCTGCCCCCTCTCTGCTTTGGGAGTGACACCCTCTTGGGACCCGACTGCAGGCAGCTGATGGCCACCCACCTGTCCCCCTCTCCCCAGCTGTGTGGTGCTCCGCCGCGGTGGACGTCCTGTTTCTGATAGATGGCTCTCACAGCATCGGGAAAGGGAGCTTTGAAAGGGCCAAGCACTTCGCCATCACGGTCTGCGCCGCTCTGGACATCAACCCCGAGAGGGTGAGTGCAAGTCTTGCTGTCTCTGTATTTAGGATGTCTTTGGCTGCAAGTGACAGAAATCCAGTCTTGAGCAGAAGAGGGCACTACTGGCTTGTGGAAGTGGAAAGACCAAGGGGGTGAATTGTGGTTCCAGGCCCAGCGGGATCCCAGGGCTCAATCCCCCTTTTCCTTTGTTCAGTTTTGCTTGCAACAGTTGGCTTCCTTCCCACACATCACAAAGCTGCCCTGCTGTGTCCTTGAAGCTAGTGACACCGGTAAAAAGAAAGTGGACTTCGTCCCCTGCATCTGACAGAAGTCCCAGGGAGGGCTCTGATTGGGCAGGTGTAGGTCACGTGACAATCCCTTAACCAATCACAGTAGTTCAAGGGAAGAGACAGTATGACAAGACCTGAGGCACCTGCTCATCCACGTTCATGGGGTGGTGGTGAACACGTGGATTTGGTTTCCCACTAGAAAGATGTTGTATCTGCACAACAGTGGGAAAGGGAAAGCATGTAACTACCTCCTAAGACTAGAATCTCAGTACAAAGCACAGCTCCTCCTACCCTCTCTGTTCACTTGAACTACTCCTGCCCGAGTGATCCAGCCAGTATGTTCACTTCTTGTTCTTCCTGGCTCCTCACAGTAGGCTTTCAGTGCCCTCAGAGTGTGCTAGCTGTGGCTCTGGTGGCTAAAAGGGGCATTTTGGAATGACTCAATAGAAAAATGGGTGATGAACATTACAGACAATTCCCAGAAAATGAAACACAAATTGCCCTTGGATATATGAAATAGCAATGCAATAGCAGACAATGTACTATAATAGCAAACCTCCGATGGGTAGACCAGTTTTCACTTACTGGATTAGCAAAAATCCAGAGTTCGGTGACACGCTGCGCTGGCAGGTCTCCAGGAAACTGCCGTTCTCACACACTGCTGGCCGGAGTGCAGCCCCGACAGTGTCCATCAAAGTTGGAACAAAGGCTTGTTCCCTTTCACCCAGAAAATTATTCTAAATATACTCCCACAGATGGTTTTCCAAGATGACATTCCTGGGTTAATCCTACAAAAATCCCTATGATTTAGGAGTAACAGTGGCCTTTTATGGGGGACAGATTTTCTCCAGAATGGCCTGTCATGTTGGGAGAGTGAGCACATTCCCTGGATCGCAGGCAGCCTTCAGAGCTATTTGAAGACACATAGCAGAGCAGCCCGGAAGTTACAACTGTACTGTCAGCCCATCACAGACCCTAAAAGGGTCTGCTCTATCTCCACCCTTTTCCACACAGGGCTCCGCTTTTAAAAGGAAAGGATTCCCTATTGAATTCCACTAGTTATTCATGGAGGAAGAGCCATAAAGACCCAACACTGTTGACTATGGCATTGATGTTGTATGTCTTGAAGGGGGTGGCTGAGAGCTCTCAGCAGAGGGCAGGTTGGGAGAGAAGAACTGTATGGATGATTAGAGGATGCTTACAGATGAGGAAACAGGCTCAGAAAGTCTAAGTGACAGCCTAGGGTCACACAGCAATCTTATAAGAGCGCTCAATGTGGAAGAGCTGGTCTCTTGACTATCAGCTCGGAACTTGTTTCATAGGTCATTTGTCCCTACCCATTGGGTAGGATGAGGTGATGAGGCTCAGCCTTCACACCTGCTGTCATATCGGAAGTTACAACATGGCATTGTGTGTCTGAGTTTGTGTGTGTGTGTGTGTGTGTGTGTGTGTGTGTGTGTGTCTGGGTGTCTGGGTTGTGTGTGTATGTATGTATGTGGAAGTGGGGGGTGCTAATGGAATTCAAGATTCTCAAAGAGAAACAAAAAAACATTATGGCTGGTGGTGTTGGGAGTACCTGTCTCAACCCACAGGGCCCCAGAGTTCAGGAAACTTCATCTCAGTGTTGCCGGGCCACATCTAGAACGTGGTGTTCGTAGTTTAGTCATTGGCAAACCAGACAGTGCCCACAACAAGGAGTGGAGCAGTGAGAGGCCTGGAAATTTCCAAATAGGAGGGAACCTGGTTATCATCCTATATAATAAAGAGGCAATATGCAAATTAACCCTCACGCCCTCACAAGATGGCTGCCTACAGCCAGGCCGGCAGGGGGGTTAGTGAGGGATGACCAAATGACTGACCAGCAGGCTGTGTGGGGCAACCAGGCCGGTGCGGGGGGGGGCATGAGGGGTGACCAGGCCGGCAGGGAGGGCAGTTGGGGGCAACCAGTCCGGCAGGGGCGGGGGCAGTTAGAGGCAACCCGGCAGGCAGGCAGGTGAGCAGTTGGGAGCCAGCCGTCCAGGATTGTGAGAGGAATGTCTGACTGCCGCTTTAGGCCCGATCCCTAAACTGGCAGTTGGACATTCCCTGAGGGGTCCTGGATTGGAGAGGGTGCAGGCTGGGCTGAGGAGATCCCTGCCCCCACACTAATTACATGCACCGGGCTTCTAGTTTTTAAATGAAAGCGGGTACAGAGTGGCTCCGTTGTCTTAAGAGGGCCGAAGCTGGTGTGCAGGGAGCTATGTGTGGGCTCGGCCCCAGAGAAACTCCCTCGCAGCCAGATTTGGTGCACAGAGGCGTCGGGGTCTGTCTCAGTGTGTGCGTGAGCATCACGACCTCCCTGTGCTCTGGCCGACGTGCTGGAATTCCAGTGCAGGGTGTTTTGTATCAGGGCGGTCTCAGGTGGTTCCGTCTGATTTGTGGCTCCGGGTTTTATGTTCTTGCTGCTGCATTTTTTTTGTCTTCTTGTTATCTCCGTTGTACAAGAGATTTTACTTTCAGTAACTCCAGTTTTCAGGAAGACATTTTCAAGTCGCTATAATTAAGGCTTTTATGGATGCTTGTTGTTGAGGTGGATTTACGGTGTTTGAAGTCTTCCTCTCAATACTTAAAAGCTGAGAAGTTTGAAGAAGGAAAAAAAAACGCAAGCTGAGAAGCTCACTTCCTGGCTGTAATATAATGATTACAGCAGGGAGGTGAGAAGTCTGGGCGGGCTGGCTTCTGAGCACACAGTAAACGGAAGATAAAAGGCAACTCTTTTTGCTCCCAAACCACCAATTACATTAAATGCCTTGGCTGCTGACTCGAGCTGTTTGTATATTGTTTTGAAGTTGCATCCTTCCTGTTTAAATCAAGTAAACGCACCCAGCTGTTGGTCTCCAAGGAGGTTTTCTTTTAAACCAAGTAATTCATTCTGATGCTTTAATAAAAAAGACGCCTAGTGAAAAGTGTCCCTCCTTTTCCCATCTGCTCACACACTTCCCGTTTGCTGGGTCCCCCTACCTGCTTTCTTGAGCATCCCTACAGAATCCCTCCATGCAAACATAAGCAACGTGTGTATATGTTCTTATCCCCCCCACCCCCCCTTTTTTAAAATATATTTTATTTTTTTTACAGAAAGGAAGGGAGAGGGATAGAGAGTTAGAAACATCGATTAGCTGCCTCCTGCACACTCCCCACTGGGGATGTGCCCGCAACCAAGGCACATGCCCTTGACCGGAATCGAACCTGGGACCCTTGAGTCCACAGGCTGACGCTCTATCCACTGAGCCAAACCGGTTAGGGCCCTTCACCCCCCTTTTATACATTGAGTAGCAGGTGATACACACTGTTCTGTTCCTTGCCTTACTCTCCTCACATGTCTTAGAAATTTTTTCATGTCTAGGTAACATAGGCATTAACGTAGGTATATATTATCTTTTACAGCTGATTAATGTTCCACTGTAAGGATTTACCAATGTTTAATTAACCAACCCCCTATTGATGGACAGTTGCAATGACAGATATACTGTGAGCTTGTAAATATGCCATTTACACATGTATATCTGTCGGATCAATTCCCAATAGCGTTATGCATCTGTGATTTTTGATAAATATTGATAAATTGCTCCCACCGATGCTGTAAGATTTATGTTCTTAGCTTAGAGCTCCAGAATGCTGGTTCCCCCCTGCAAACATTGTATCTGGCTTTTTGCTACATCTGAGTGTGGTGCCCTCAAATCTAGGTTTGTATACTAAAGAGCCATTTGTATTTCCGGTTCTGTGATCTCTGTTCATCTCCTTTGCTCATTTTTTTCTGTTGGATTGTTAGTCTCTTACATATCAATTCCTAGACACTCTATATATATTGGGGAGATTAACCCTTGCTTTCAGACATGAGTTGCAAATAATGTTTCCATTTTGTCTTCATGTTTTTGGTTGAATCGTATGTGTTGCCCTGCCGAAGTTTTCTTCCTGTCCCCAGATCCATCAATCTTTCCTTTATGATTTTTAGTCGTAGTAAGGTCTTTTCTGCTTGGAGGTTTTAAAGGAACTCTCCCAGGTTCTCTTCTAGAACGTTTACGGTTATATTTTTCACATTTAAATATTGAATCCATTTGCAGCTTATCTTCTATTCTTTGGCAGGTTTATCCAGTTGTCCCCAAATCCCTTAGTAACGAGACCATGTTTCCCCCACTGGTTAGAGATGCCCCTTCCTTGATCACCTGCCAAATTCAAGGAGACTTCAAAAGTGTCGCGTCTCAGAAACTCTTCTGTGAGCTTCTCTCCTGCTCTGCTTTCCAGTGTCCATTCCCCCCACATGCCCACCCAAGACTTCTTCCCACTTAAGATGCCAGTGGCTCCTCCTCAGAACTTCCTGTGGGAGGCAAGTCCGATGGGCTGTGCTCTCTGGGGGCAGGTGAGCCCCCCTGGTGTGGCGAGGGCTTTGATCAGCTCCCAGGCACCAGGCTTGTTAAAGGCATCAGCCGTGAAGGAATTCAAGGTGCTGCGAGCAAAAGGCGGCGTCCTTGCTTAAATATGAATCACTTGGCTCATTTGCAAGCGTGGCCGGAATTAGGGTTCCTTATAACACGGGTAACTGAGAACGGTTTCTCCAGGGGTTTTGGAGAGCCAGGAATTAGGTTCAGGGATTGGAGCCTTGAGGGGAAACCTGAATGTTTATATCCCTCTCTGTTTGAGACACACTAGTGTTTTAAGGGTCCAGAGAATGACGCTACTCGGTTCTCCCTCCCCAGTCTTGCAAGGCACTGGGCTTCCCCATGTGACCTCCTCACTTAGGGTGCAACATCTGGACTCACCAGCGGCTCTCCTCCCTCCAGGCAGGGGACCTGCAGCTCCAGGATTGCTGGCCTCCCCCTCGCAGGCAGAGGCAGGCTCGGAAGGCTGACCCCCTCTGTAACTAAGGATGGGCGGGTGGCGGCTGTGGTCAGTGATGAGCCAGCGGGGATGGTGGCGGTGGCTAGCAGCTGCGACACCCCTGGTCGGGTCAGCGAGCATTTTGCTGAAGGCCTGTGCTGGCGGCTGAGAAGGCCAGCCATAGAGCTGAGCCTCGTGAAGATCATAAGCACCAAGTTCAAAGGCCTGGCTCCCTTTCTCTCTCTCCCTGGGCCAGATCTGTGTCCTCTCTACACTTGTTTCTCCAACAGTGACGGGGGTAGGAATCGGGCTTCTGCGGATTAAATGAAGTAACATGAGATTGCTCCTGGCAGGCATTCGGTCAATGCGAGCAAAGACCCTGCCCTAACGAAGATGTTCTCCGTTCAGCTGAGCGAAATGCCAGAATGGGGGTCGAGGAAAGTGAAGCGGAGTGGTGGTTGTCAGTGCAGAACACAGGCAGAGTGGACTGTTTCCTTCCGGATTCTTCTCCTGGTCTTGGGGACCTTTTCTTGGGGAGACCAGAGAAAGCTCTGGCTCTGGGAGTTGTGGAGTGGGCAGGAGGCAGGGTCATTAACCTCTCTCGTCCTGTCTTCCCTCTTAGGAATGTGTGTGACTTGACCCCGCTCTCAACCCCTGGGCCCTCTGTCTCCTCCTGCAGGTCAGGGTGGGAGCAGTCCAGTTCAGTTCCGCTCCTTGGCTGGAATTCCCCTTGGACTCCTTGTCAACCCAACAGGAAGTGAAGACAAAACTCAAGAGGATGGTTTTCAAGTATGTACGCTCAGATTCCGCCCTGGCTAGGCTGCGGCTGGCCGCTCTGAAAATCGCTCTTAAAGGGTTTGGCCCTGCCCTTGGCCTCCCAGAGAGGGCTGGGGTGTCCAGAATCCCAGCTGTGCTTTCTGGGTAATGAGAATGCCCCTCTCAAGGCTGCCCCTGTTACCAGATGATGCCCCGGGTGGGAACTTAGATGCAAGTTCAAAAAAAGTATTTGCTGCTATTATGTGCAGTTGTCAGTTACCTGGGAGAAAGGGCCAGGGAAGGTCAAGACCAGCATTAAGTGCAAGTGTTAGAACACTGGCTCTTTCTCCCAGCCTGTCTTTGGTGACCGCTACAGCTCGGAGAGCTCACACACTCTGTGGTTTGGCTAAAGCAGCGGTTCTCAACCTGTGGGTCGCGACCCCTTTGGCGGTCGAATGACCCTTTCACAGGGGTCACCTAAGACCATCCTGCATATCAGATATTTACATGACGATTCATAACAGTAGCAACATGACAGTTATGAAGTAGCAACGAAAATAATTTTATGGTTGGGTCACAACATATGAGGAACTATATTTAAAGGGCCAGAAGGTTGAGAACCACTGGGCTAAAGAGTAAGTGCTCCTCTGCTGTCGAGAGCGCTTTGAAATGATGAGTAGTTGTTCATGTGCTCAGACACACGCACACCCTATAAACGGATGGATGTAGTGGGGCCATAACTTTACTTACAAGTCAGCTGATGTGTGTGTATATGATGTGTAGATAGGCACAGATGTATATACATATAGTTCTTGTGTAAATATTTTTATGTGTATGTTGCGTCTACACGTAAACATATACGTCTCTGCATTTGAATGTGTTATACACACACATACTAGGTACACACACACGCACACATAATTTATAAGCCCTCGCAGAAGACTGCCTTCCACTTGCCACTGGTCACTCTGATCTCTGCTGCCCCTTGCACTAGTGTCCACTGAAGTCCGTGCTCCCATTTCTAGATGTTGCCTCCAGGTGCAGAGGCCCTGAGCCCTGAGGCCCTTTATCCGGGCACAGGCTCCTGTAGGTGCACAGTGCTCTCCACAAGCCCAAATCCCCGCACTGGGCGCAGCAGGAACTGCCCCCGGGACCCTCAGTGACCATCTCAGGCCCTTTGTCCCAGCCCTTTCCTCTGTCCATGGGCGCCCTGCACAAATGAGGGGCAGGACAAAGGGAAGAGCACCTTGATATCTATTCGTAAAAATTACACTGGCCTTTCCTTGTTCCCTTGGAGCCCTCAACCCTTGAGGCCACCAAGAATGGTTTCCTATAAAAAAAAATGTCATAGCCTCACCCCCATAACTTGGGCCCAGACACCCAGAGCAGCACTTTTCATAGTGGGCTCATAGAGCTACCTGGGTCAGGATTGCTGAGGGAAGTCTGTTAAAATGCAGGGGCCTCGACCCCCTCCCAGACCGACTGAACTGCTCTCTGGGAAGTGATGTTTAGCACTGCACTTTTAGAGTTTTCTCCCCACTACCTCTACCCCAGGACTGTTGTACACACTGACTTTTTAAAAACAGCATTATGGAGATATACTTTAAATATTATAAAGTTCACGCATTTAATGTGGACAAGTCAGTGGTTCTGAGTGTATTTTCAGAGTTATGTAACTACTAGAGGCCCGGGGCCAATCGGGGCCGGCCAGGGGAAGGGATCGCAGGAGGTTGGCCAGCACAGGAGGTTGGCTGTGGGAGTGCACTGACCACCAGGGGACAGCTCCTGCGTTGAGCGTCTGCCCTCAGTGGTCAGTGCACATCATAGTGACCCGTCGACCGGTCGTTCGGTCAACCAGTCGTAACGGTCGTTTAGGCTTTTATATATAGAGATTCCCATAATCTAATTTTAGAACATTTTCATTATCCAAAAAGAAATCCAGAGAAGATATATAAATGGCCAATGAGGACATGAAAAGATATTCAACAGCATTAGTCAATAAGGAAATGCAAATCAAAACCATAATGAAATATCACTTCATACCCACTAGGAAGGCTAAAATAAAAGACAGACAGTGACGGGTGTTGACAGGGATGTGGAGTCCTCATGCATGGTTGGTGGAATTATAAAATAGTGCAGCTGCATTGAAAAACAGTTTGGCAGTTTCTCAAAATGTTAAATATAGAGTTACCATATGACCCTGCAACTTCAAGAGAATTGAAAACATATGCCCACACAGAACTGTATACCCTCTGTTCCATAGTAGCATTGTTTATAATGGGCAAAAAATGGAAATAACACAAAAGTGCAATGGATAAACAAAATGTTTCATATTCATACAATGGAATATTATTCAGCCATAAAAAGGGATGAGGTGATTCATGCTACCACATGGATGAACTTTGAGAACATTATGCTAAGTGAAAGGAGCAGACACACAAAGTTACATATTGTATAATTTCATTTTTATGAAATGTGTGAAATTGGCAAATCTCTGGCAACAGAAAAGATCAGTCATTGCCAGGAGCTACTAGTATAGGGAGAGGGCATGGGAAGTGACTGCTAACGGGTATAGAGCTGTTTGGGGTAATAAAAATGTTTTGATTTAGATAATAGTAATGGTTGAATAAGTCAGTGACTGTACTAAAAACTACTGAATTGTATCGTTAAAAGGGTGACTTTTACGGTTTATTAATTATTGATATAATATTATTATAAAAACTTGATATCCATTATATGTACACTAACATTTGCAGGGGGGAAAATAGCTTTTGGATTAAGTTTAGGACTGAAAGTCAAAAATTGGGTGACTAACTCAAATGATTTGGCCCTGTTCTCTTCTAAAAAATGAAGCAAATTACAGCAAATTGGTTCAAAAAGTCACTTTTAGAGATCACATAGTATCTACTCCAATTCTTTACTTTAGGAGGGAGGATGCTGAGGTTGAGAAGGAGTAGGTGATTGGCCAGGACCAGAGTCACACTGTCCAATAGGCCCCACCCAGCTGCCCATTCCCACCTCTCCCACCCCAACCCCCTCAACAGTTGGGCTCCTCCTCTCAGCTGTGGTGAAAGTTGTTGCTAAGGGCTGGAGAGTGTTCTTCATGACATAAGAGATACAGAGCTGCGTTAGGAACACGCCCCGTGAGGACACGGGAGGTGGAGAAGGAATCCTCTGTGTGTGTCTGCACACAGTCCGCTTCTGTTTTGGGGATGATGGCAGTTAGCAGTGTGCATCCTAGGATAACTATGAGAAACAGGGCAAGGGGCGGTAATGAACTTTTTGGCCACAGTTGCAGGGTCACTGAGGACGTTAAGCGTGAAGACACTAGGATTCATCAGAACAGAGGAATGTTGGCTGAATGGGAAGGATGACCTCCCAGGGCTCTTCCCCCTTTTTCTTTCATTTTATAAGGTATTTTTTTATTTCAGAGAGGAAGGGAGAGGGAGAGAGAGAGAGAAACATCAATGATGAGGATCATTGATCGGCTGCTTCCCGCACGCCCCCTACTGGGGATCGAGCCCGCAACCAGGTATGTGTCCTTGACCGGAAGCGAACCCAGGACCCTTCAGTCTGCAGGCTGATGCTCTCTCCACTGGGCCAAACCAGCTAGGGCTCTTCCCCCTTTTTCTACAGTGAAGTTTTCAAGGCTGGCCTGATGGGAAGAGCTTTCCCTAAAACCCAGAACACTTGCCTTCTAGACCAAGGTGATTCCCTGAAGGTGTGTGTTGAGGTGGCTAAGAAACCACCCTGACACATGGCAGTAAGAAGCTTAAAAAATATCACAGCCAAGCCGTTCAATACTGTGCCCAGTGATAACATCAAGTCAGATAAACCATGTCCGGCAATTGGCTCTGAATGTCCAGAACTCTGGCCGGCTGGGCAAGCTCACGCAGTCATTTCATTCACCGCCCAGTAACACCACCCGCAGTTTCCTGTGATTGGCCTGAAAATCCATTGTAGTGAGTCATTATTTTCTGCACCGTTGACACAGAGAGCCAGCAGGCCTCCCTCTGAGGGCTGGGACGAGCCTCCTTTTGTGAGGTTTAGTAGAGGTTCCCGCACTGGGATTCCTCGCTCGTTGACAGTCCGTGTAACTGGCCTGTAAGGTTACAGACTCTTAGCGTCCCAATGAGCGGGGACCTTTGTAACCTGCCCTGATCTGGAAGCAAACTGCAGCCTCCACCACCTGACCCTGAACTTGGCAGTGGGCCAGGAAGGTCCAGTCATGGCAAGGACCCCAGGGAGATGTTGAGCCATAATAAGAAGGGGGTGACACGGCTGGGGCCATGGGAGGTGGGTGGTAGGCAGACGATGGGAGTTGTCAGCCCACAGCCATCCGTGGGGCAGACCCAGAGAGTGACATTACCTAAACCACAGAGCTGTGCGGGGTGCATCTTACACACCCAGGAAAAGTTCATGTCTGTTCATAATTGTGGTTTAGAGGGTGAGCAAGTGCATCTCTCGTGGTAGGAATCGTCACTCTGAGCTCCTGCCGGGGGAATGTGGCTGTCACTACTAACAGAGGAGCCGTTGTCTGCCAACGTCACCTCTCCGGGTCACTGATTCATATTTTGTGTTTTCCTCCCGGGTGAGCTCAGGGGAGGGCGCACCGAGACAGGCCTCGCTCTGAAATACTTTCTGCGCAGAGGGTTCCCCGGGGGCCGAAATGCCTCTGTGCCCCAGGTGCTCATCATCATCACGGACGGCAGGTCCCAAGGACAGGTGGCACTGCCGGCCAAGCAGCTGCAGGAGAGAGGGGTCACTGTGTTTGCCGTGGGCGTGCGCTTCCCCAGGTAAGAGACTCGGACACCTGGGTCAGCCCTGTGGGTCGGCCGGTGGGGTAGGGGTGAGGTGGGGAGGAGAGGGGACCGTGGTGTGGCTGTGGGAGAAGAGGCGGTGGAAACACGGTGCTGGTTCAGGTAGGATCTGTCTTCCCTTGTCTTGTTGCCAGAGCACAAGGAGCTCTGAGTCTGCAAGTCTGAGCCTCTACATTGTCTTTCCTTTCGTCTAGAGCAGCGGTTCTCAACCTGTGGGTCGAGACCCCTTTGGCGGTCGAACGACCCTTTCACAGGGGTCGCCTAAGACCATCCTGCCTATCAGATATTTACATGATGATTCATAACAGTAGCAACATTACAGTTATGAAGTAGCAACGAAAATAATTTTATGGTTGGGTCACAACATGAGGAACTGTATTTAAAGGGCCAGAAGGTTGAGAACCACTGGAAAACACTTGGTTATAATTTTAAGTGCCAGAAACCCAACTTGATTTGGGCAGAAATGGAAAGTCATGGACTCATCTGACTGCACTGGTGGGTCAGGGGTCTCTTGGTGTGAGCAGGAGGGGCCAGGGACTTGAACACCCCCCCACCCCCCGCCAGTGTCTCTGCTGCCCTCAGCCTGGCGCTCTCAGGAGCTGGAGCTGTGGCTGCCAGCTATGGCCGGCTCACATCTTTTAGTATTTACGGAGCCCCCTCTGATGGTTCTCATCTCTGGCTGAGCATCTGTTTTGCAGGGAGCTTTTAAGAAAGTCTGTGGCTGGGTGGGGTCAGGCAGAGCTGCCCCCCTAAGCGTGAATGTGAGCCCAGAGCTGAGAAGCCCCCCTCTGTGTGCCAGGCCCCGCCCTGGGCACTGGGAGAAATGTCCAGTTTCTATGGCTTCAGGAGAGAATAGGGAATTTTACATAAGTGAATTTTTAAAGTTTTTTTAAAATATTTTATTTGATTTTTTACAGAAAGGAAGGGAGAGGGATAGAGAGTTAGAAAGATCGATGAGAGAGAAACATCGATCAGCTGCCTCCTGCACACTCCCTGCTGGGGATGTACCCGCAACCAAAGTACATGCCCTTGACTGGAATCGAACCTGGGACCCTTGAGTCTGCAGGCTGACACTCTATCCACTGAGCCAAACCAGTTAGGGCCGTAAGTGAATTTTAGAAATCAATGAAATTGTTGCCATGTTGCCAAACCTTGGCCTACATTGGTGGGCAGGATTCTAAATGCGTTGCCGACCGCCCTGTCTTCTTAGCCTTTTCTTCACGTCCCCACGTCCTTGTGCTGCTCATCGTTTTTGTCCTGGGCCCTGAATGGTGCCCTCTGGCTGTCTGTGCTGGCTCCCTCCTAGATGGGCTCCCAGGGCTGGCCTTGGAGTCCTTATGTTCACTGTTTATAGTTCTTCTGTATTTTTTTTCTTTCTTTTTAATACGTCTTTATTAGTTTTTATCGGGTTTGGCTCAGTGGATAGAGCGTCGGCCTGCGGACTGAAGGGTCCCTCGTTTGAGAGAAAGAAACATCAGTGATGAGAAAGAATCATCCATCGGCTGCCTCCTGCATCCCCCACAGTGGGGATGGAGCCCACAACCCGGGCATGTGCCCTGACCAGGAAGCAAACCTTTGACCTCTTGGCTCCTGGGTTGATGCCCAACCACTGGGCCACATCAGTCAGGGCACTGCTGTATTTTTTTCTATTGCCAGCTGTCCTTGTTTGCTCTTTTCTTGTCTAGAACCAGTCTCTTTCTTTCTGTTCAGTTTTTCTCATCAGCTATAGTCACAGAACCAGACCCTGAAATCTGTCAGGACCATGTCTGACATAGGAGGCGACTGTTTGAGTGTGAGGCTCTCCCTGGCCCGTGGAGGTCCAGGGACAGTGGCACGCACACATTATGACCCATGGCCGAGTGTCCTTGAGGTCATTCTGAGGTTCACTTCTGGTTGTTTCCTGCATCCTGGAGGGATGAGGTTGCAGCGAAGTGGCTTCCGTGGCGGGGAGGGCGGGGGGGCGGGGGGGCAGGGTGTTGCCCATGGGCTAGAAGCCGGGAGGGCAGGCGGAGGATGGGCAGGAGTGACAAGGCATGTAACCTCTGCTGGGGGCTGGGCCCAGGTGGGAGGAGCTGCACACGCTGGCCAGCGAGCCCAGGGAGCAGCACGTGCTGATGGCTGAGCAGGTGGAGGACGCCACCAACGGCCTGTTCAGCACCCTCAGCAGCTCCGACTTCTGTACCTTCGCCTCTCCAGGTACGGCCTTCCAGGCTGGCCCATGTGCTAGTGGGGTATGTGTGGGATGCAAGTGGAGTGTGTGATGGGGAGGGTTCCCCTAGCATGAGGTAAGCACTCAGGGGCCTCCCCAAGGAGGGAGGGTGAGAGGAATGGGGTCCTACAGCCTCGGCCCCAGGGCTCTCTGCTGTGTTCTGTCTCCATGTGGATTCTCAGCTGGAACCTGGAGCTTGTCTCCATGGAGTAAAGGGGATCAGGCCTTGGGAGCAGGGGGGGCCCCTGTACCTGTCCCCTGCTTCGGGGGAGGAGCCAAGTCGGCGCCCCCACTGTGGTCAGTCAATGGACTCTGCAGCCTGAGGCCAGGTGTCTGCATGCATAGTCACCTCCGTCAGGGTCCCCCAGGAGCTAGAGTGAATGTGTTACAGGAAACACGCATGTGTGCACGGGATGTGGAAGCTGTGCAGGGCAGGGCCTGTGCAGAGGAGGTGCCCAGAGACTGGCGCCCAGCAAGGGGCAGAGCGGAGCCCCTCCCCCGTGTGCTCTGCCCCGAGAAGCAGAAGGTGGCAGTGGGGCTGAGTGTGGGGGACCTCAGTGCAGGAGTAGGCGTAACCCTGTCTTCTCTGTTGGGTGTGCTGTGGACACAGACTGCAGGGTCCAGCCTCACCCCTGTGAGCGCAAGACGCTGGAGACGGTCAGGGAGCTGGTCGGCAGCGGCCTGTGCTGGAGAGGATCGCGGGGGACCGATGGTGTGCTGGCTGCCCCCTGCCCCTTCTTCAGGTTTGTCCTGTGGTCTGGAGTCTGGGCTCAAGGGCACAGCCTGGGTGTGGGTGGAGGTCCCCAAGGCCAAGTGCTTGGGAGCTGCGGGGTTTGGAGGAGTGCAGGGCTGGGGGGAGCCGGGACAGAGCATCGGGGTGTAGGGAGGGTCATTGACGCACCACCTGGGTGCCCAGGGTGAGCGAGGGGGGCAGGGTCACGGCCACTCTAGAGGCTGGTAAGGGAGCCATAAGCTGGGCCTTAGGGCTGTGCTCTGCACCTGGGATGGTGACCTGGTGACTTGGTTCCTCTGAGCACCAGTCTCTATATTTATGGGGGCCTGAGTGAGGCAAAAGGCTTAGGTCCTGGGTGATTCATGTGGTGGCCCCGGGGGATGCTGGGATCCTCAGGACCAGAGCTCAGGCATTCAAGAACAGCAGTCACCAACCTTGTGGACCTCACGGACCCCCAGTGGCCTGCAGACCACTGGTTGGCGACCGCTGTTCTAGAGCACTTGCTACCTGGCCTGTCCCTCACAGTCCCTGGCCTGGCCTTCAGCACTGTACACACCACCTCTAGCACAGTCTCCTCTCTCCATTGAGGCTCCAAGGGTCACAGTTGAAAACTATAGAGTTGCTATCTAGAGCATTGGTTCTCAACCTTCTGGCCCTTTAAATACAGTTCCTCATGTTGTGGTGACCCCCAACCATAAAATTATTTTCGTTGCTACTTCATAACTGTAATGTTGCTACTGCTATGAATCATAATGTAAATATCTGATATGCAGGATGGTCTTAGGTGACCCCTGTGAAAGGGTCGTTGACCGCCAAAGGGGTCGCGACCCACAGGTTGAGAACCACTGATCTAGAAGAAGGAACTGAAGACCAGAGAAGGAAAGTAACTTGCCTGGGGTCACACAGCCAGCCAGTCCCAGAAAGGAGCTTGTAATAGAAAGCTGTTCTCACTGATCAGAGTTTCGAACACAGATATCTCTAACTTCTGACATGATAGCCAATGTACATTACCTTTTTTTTTTTTTTTAATTGTCTCTGGGTAGCTTGAACCATCCCCTACTCTGTGTGCAGACAGAAACTGGGGTAGAAAGAAAACAAAGAAGTCTCTCTTGACTAGTGTCTGCATTGGAATTTTATACCAGCTTCATGGTTTGTTTTTAATATATTTTTTATTGATTTCAGAGAGGGAGGGAGAGGGAGAGATAGAAACATCCATGATGAGAGAGAATCATTGATTGGTTGCCTCTTGCACACCCCCTACTGGAGCCTGCAACCCGGGCATGTGCCCTTGATGGGAATCAAACCTGGGACCCTTCAGTCCGCAGGCTGATGCTCAATCTATGGAGCCAAGCCAGCTAGGGCAGCTTTGTGTTTTAAGTAACCTTCCCGGTGTCTGCCCTCCTGTTAACCCTTTGATCTCTACTGTCTGTGTCCTTGGGTTGCAGCTGGAAGAGAGTGTTCTTAACCCACCCCGCCACCTGCTACAGGACCACCTGCCCAGGTACAGTCCGCCCTTTGGATTCTCCTGCTCGGCCTGGGCCCTGGGACGAGGCTGCTGTCTTACCTGTTGTGGGCTGTTTGCTTCGTGTCAGGCTCTGTCCTAAGACTTCCCGTGGATAAGTTCATGCAATCCTCGCAAGAACACTGTGGGGCCAGTTCCGGCATCACCTTCTTAGATGAGGATTCTGGAGCTTGGAGGGGCTAGGAAGGTGCCTGAGTGAGTAGAGGAGGCACTTTCCGTAACTCCAGGGTCCAAAGGCTCACTGTGTGGCTGTGCAGCCTGCAGAGGCTGCTAACAACCCACGTCGAACGTCAGAAACAGCACCTTCCCCCCTGCAGCGTTCCCCATCTAGAGACACCCACGCTGCCGGCTTCTTGGTACTGAGACCTTCACCCCCATCAAGCTCAGGTCTGGCACCAGTTCATCACCATGGCCCCTGGAGCTCCCCCAGACCCCCTCGCAGCTGAGGGTTGTAATGGCTGTTGTGTTAGTTCTCTGCGGCTTACACAACAGAAATGTATTTTCTCACAGTCCTGGAGGCTGCGAGTCCAAGGTCAAGGTGTCAGCCAGTTCGGTTTCTTCTCCGCCCTCTCTGCTTGGCTTGCAGGTGGTCATTTTCTCACTGTGGCTTCACACGGCCTTGGCTCCATGCAGGGCCCTAGGTCCGTGGTCCGCAAACTGCGGCCCCTTGGGTGTGGCTCTTCCACAAAGTACCACGTGTGGGCGCGCACGTACAGTGCGATTGAAACTTCGTGGCCACACTTAAGGGGCCAAAGAGCCACATGTGGCTCGCAAGCCGCGGTTTGCCGACCACGGCCCTAGTGTCTCTTCCTCTAAGGACACCATTCGCATTGGACTAGGACTCACCCTATGACCTCATTTGACCTTAATTTCCTCTTTAAAAGGCCTGTCTCCAAATACAGTCACATGCAACGGTATTGAGGGTTGGGACTTCTGCATATGAATGGGGGTGGGGGGTCCCATTGTCACGACCCCATGTGAGCATGTAACTCACACAGGGCCTCACCAAGCTCACCATCAAGTGTCCTTTACCACCCACACCCAGCCCCTCCTCTGCACACCCCACTTTTTCCCCCTCTTTGCTGTAGGTGTTGCAGCTAGTTTCCTAGTGGTTCCCAGGGAGGTGGGGCAGGGTGGCCTGCGGGACTAGTGCCTGTGGGCCGAGGTGCTAGGCCGTTCCTGGGCATCTCTCTGACAGGCCCCTGTGACTCGCAGCCTTGCCGGAATGGAGGCACGTGTGTTCCAGAAGGACTGGACAGGTACCGCTGTCTGTGCCCGCCGGCCTTCAGAGAGGAGGCTAACTGTGGTACGTTTGCACGGGACCTTCAACATGGACTGTTAGGGAGGGGTGGCGTCCACGGTCCCCTGGCTTACCCCTCACCCTCGAGCTCCTAGGAGGGAAACTGGCCCTTGAGTTTAGAGCCACCCACTTACCAAGGGCCCCGTGCTGCAGTGTCTCAGGGGATTCGGCTCTGAGTCTCCACGAATGAAGCTCTGGGTGGGACAGTGGCTCCTGGCTTGTTAGTTTCCGAATGGTCACTGCTTGACATCTGAGCGTTGCTGAGCCCAGCTGCAGGCTGGAGCCAGCCCAGCTCGGACCTGGTGCTGGGCAGAGCCTCTTTTTTAGGAAGAGGAGCTTCAACCCTCCTTGTCTGTGTGTGGTTTTCCTCTTTGGTTTTAAAGGTATGAAGTAGAGACTAGTAGGCAGCACCTCCTAGGGTTGTTGGTAGCTTGGAATCAGATTATGTACGGGATGGAGCAAAAGTAGGTCTATAGTTGTTTGTATGGAAAAGTAATACAATCATCAGGACATCATCATATAAGAATGAACTCTGTGTTTTGTGTACTCACTGCTGTAAACCTACTTTTGCCCCACCCTGTATGCTAAGTGCTGAGCACTCAGTAGGGGCTTCTTTAATGACTTTTATAAAAGTGTAGTGCTGGGTCAGTTGGAGATTTACATGGAAGACCCTCCACCTCACAAGCCCCACAACAGTCAGTTCCAGAAGGACCACAGATCCGAGTGTCAGAGGCCACGCCTGAACCGCCTGTTCTCACAGAGGAAGGAACGTAGCTGCAGGGTTTCTCAAACAGGACACTGAGGCGCTAACTGTAACGGGGGGGGGATGGGGGGTATAAAATAGGTTGCATGTGCATTTTAAAAAATATATATTTTTATTGATTTCAGAGAGGGAGGGAGAGGGAGAGAGAAACATCAATGATGAAAATCATTGATCGGCTGCCTCCTGCACGCCTCCTACTGGGGATCGAGCCCACAACCTGGACATGTGCCCTGACTGGGAATTCAGCCGTGACCTCCTGGTTCATGGGTCGATGCTCAACCACTGAGCCACTCCGGTTGGGCTATGTGTTAAATTTTAAGCAGTGGTTGGGGGAGACCCTTAGCGAGAGCCAGAAGGGAGAGCTCTGTGATGTGCAGTGGTCACAGCCCCTGCAGCCTCAGTTTCTCCACCCCGTCTCTCCCCACCCCACCCCTGGGAGAGAGGTTTCTGCTGTCTGGTGTGGTGCTTGGGCATCCCGGGCGGGACGGTGACCTGCATGCCCCACGGCTTGACGGCTGCTGTGATGTCGGCAGCCCCGACGCTGAGCCTGGCGTGCAGAATCGACGTCCTCTTCCTGCTGGCCAGCTCGGCGGGCACCACGCCAGAGGGCTTCCTGCGGGCCAAGGCCTTCGTGAAGCGGTTTGCCCAGGCGTCACTGGACGAGGACTCCCGGGCCCGCGTGGGCGTGGCCCGGTACAGCGGGGAGCTGGAGGTGGCAGTGCCCGTGGGCGAGTACCTGGACGTGCCCGACCTGGTCCGGAGCCTGGATGCCATCCCCTTCGGCGGAGGCGCCACCCTGACGGGCAGTGCCCTGCGGCAGGCGGCGGAGCGC